CCCCAAAACTTCTGAGCCATAACAAAGTAAATAGTCAGTTAGAAAACCAACCCTACTTCTCCCAAAGCTAGTTCATCAAATGAGGATTTTTGTTTCAGGAGACTAATGTTAATTTAAGAGTCACAAACTTCTGGGGGTGCCTGGCTGGCTCAGTTGGTAGAGCTCACGAGTCTTGGTCTTGGGGTCGTGAGTTCAAGCCCCACGCTGGGGATGGAGCCTACTTTCAAAAAAAGTCAATAAATGAATTAAATAAATGTATGTATGCATGTATGTCACAAATTTCTCCTGCTAAATGTTTATGTGCAGAGAGGCAATGTGGTATAGCCACATGAAGGTCAGGAATACCATGTCTAGTCCTAATACTGATAAGTTCTAAAAAGCTGCAATTCTGACATTTTCCCCAAACATACTGGATGTTTAGTTTAAATCCTCCTTACTCCACAAGGTCCAGCTGAAATGCCCTATCATCTACAAATCTTACATGTGTCCTTTGCCAAACTCACTTCTGCACTTTTTAAAAACCCTTGTTTATGGCAATTATCACTTTGATCACTTTTACTTTGTATTGAGTTTATTTCAGTATGTCTTGTGTCTTCTACCACACACTTTTAAACCTCTTAAAGGCAGGGTCCTATAGTACATACAACTCTGTGATTCCTATAGACTCACATTAGAGCAAACTCTCAAAAGAGAAAGGAAAAGAAAGGGTAAGGCAGAGCAGAGCCACCCAGTCTGTTGTCTACAACAGTTTTGAACAAAATATCATGAAAAACCATTTGGGAGTTCAGCACTGTGCTTCACATAGTCCAAAGATTGGTTCTCATATGACTAGTACAATATGCCCAGGCCTACTATAACCAAATTATTACTTTGAATAAAAACTAGTCATTTCTTCATTAATATTTCATAAAAAGATAAATCAATATATCCAATAATTCTGGAGAGATTTTTGTGGGAGATAAGCAAGATTGGTGAATAGAACTTATATCCTCGGGGCGCCTGGGTGGCTCAGATGGTTAAGCGTCTGCCTTCGGCTCAGGTCATGATCCCAGGGTCCTGGGATCGAGTCCGGCATCGGGCTCCTTGCTAGGCAGGGAGCCTGCTTCTCCCTCTGCCTCTGCCTCTCTCTCTGACTCTCATGAATAAATAAATAAAAACATTTAAAAAAAATTTTTAAAAAAAGAACTTATATCCTCACAAACTATAAAATTTACGGCCCTATCCTCAAAAGGCGTACAACTAGGGATCTTATTTTCTCCTTCAGTTTGCTACCTACTACAAGTGAAAAAATTTGACATTCTTTATCCAGAGTTAATAACATATTTGGATAACTTTACTTTTTTCCCCTAAATTGACAGTATTTTCTATACAACCAAAACAACAAGGTCAAAAAGAAATCTATAGATCTTAGAAACAATGAGCTCTAACACCTTTTTTGTAATCCATTAATAATTTCTTATGAGCTTTTAATCTGTATGATAAAAAAAAATAGCAAAGTCAGAAAATCTAGCAGACCCAGATCTATTTCTCAAACTATCCAGAACTACAGAAAAACTTTCAATTTTACTACATACTATAATAGTGTTCTTCTCCTACATGGTCAGTTGATTTTTTTTTTTTTTGATATTCTATTTAGTACTCAGCATACCATTATATATATAGTAGACATAAAACCCTATTAATTTACACGGATATTCTTTCATGCTAAAATCTCAAAGGAAACAACTATTACAAATTATAAACATGAACTGTATTATTCAGGTATTTAAAACATACGCTGCTGGGGGAAGGGGTAAGAAATAAATAAAACATACAAATCAGTCAAGACTGAAAATAAGCTAATATTATAACTTACCACTAATTAAAATGGTAAAAAAACTATCTTAGAAAAAGATGTTGCAGGGCGCCTGGGTGGCTCAGTTGGTTAAGCGACTGCCTTCGGCTCAGGTCATGATCCTGGAGTCCCGGGATCGAGTCCCGCATCGGGCTCCCT